AGACGCTTCTGAAAACATCCAAAGCACCAAAGCAATGGTACTAGTACTTACCCCTAGTCCTTTTATGAATTATTCCCTCCGCCCTGTGCAAAATTAGCAACCACCACATGATGTTACAGGGCGCAAGATGTGTTGTCTACCAAAGACAACAAGATCAACATCCGGCAAGGTAAGAGTTCTTTTTTGCTCTAGTTGTTTTACTGTTGTGCCCGAAGAAACGTTAGCCTTTACTAAAGTTCGATGGGACATGGCAGGGCCAGGGCGGGTGGAAACTAGCCAACTATATAGACTATATAGACTGCCTGGAAACGTTTGTGTTTTGTCCAAAAAACAACGGTTTGCACAGCTGAGGTTAGATATTGGAAACTAGCCTTTTGGGAAGGAAGGACAAAAAAGAGCAAAAGGTGGACGTAGCGACTGCAAGTGAAAGAATTGAAGCGCCATAGCCACTAGACACTAAGCGACCAAACCAACTGAAGGCTGCAAACATTGGCAGCAAGGAGCGTCCATGTATTCTGCTTGGGTTGCTTCTGGGGGGAGGCGCTGCGCCTTTGGGATAGGGAAGGTTTGCGGTTGCCCTCTTACTTCATTTCTTTGCGCTGAGATTTGCTCAGCTGCAGTGAGGAGTAGAGAGCGAGGGAACCAAAAACAAGATCTCTGAATTAAACTGACTTTATAATTGCCATGCAAAAGACAACCCCTTTCCTGGAATGTTTGCCCCTTTCCTGCCACCACATGTACACTAATTAATGCAAGCACGGTTTCAACCCTGCAAAGGTTCCCTGGAAAGAAGCCAGCAAACCCATCTCTAATCCGTGGAACTGGAATGCAAATTCAAAAAGGTGAGCATGCAACTCTATATTCAAACCCTGAACTACAAGTATTATCAAGTATTGCCTGGAATGTTGGCATGAAATTTATTGAAATTTATGAAACCGCATCTCCAAGCCGCACAGGAAGCCGCCGGCCTGTCCAAAGGGACCAACTGAGCTCTGCTCCTTTACAAGAGTGTTGAGAAAAAAGCTTCTGCACTTGCCACAAGTGTTGAGTAGTGGTCTGATTAATTGTCAGATGTCAGTGTCAATTCGACGTGATCCAAAGTACCTGGTCGTTCATGCTCTAAGCCATGTGAAAGGCACTGGAGGTGAATTGAAACACGGTAACAACAGTCATGACAGCCAACGCGCGTAAACATGATATTCCATACCGCCTGACTTGCAGTCGTACATCAACACAGCCCAACTTCAGTGCATGCTGTTCCATGGCTCCCTCTCCTGCGTATCCTCTCTTTCCCATGGTTCTGGGGTGGCAGTACCGCTGCGTGGACGGTCACAGTAATCATCCACCTGCACATCGTAAGGCTAAGGGAATGGCGCATGTACCATGCTGGTGCAAATAAAGACCAACTGGTAGTAACAAGAAGCTAGTAGAAACAAGTGCCACGCTAGTAGTCACAAGTGCCTTACTGGTAGTAACAAGAAGCTAGTAGTAATAAAGACCGACTGTCTTGTTCGATTCTTCCTTTCAACCCCCACCTGCGCGGGCATGCTGCGGCTCCGTGCGCCAGCAGAACAACAATTGGGCGACACCGAGATGAACCTCGCCACGGTCAGCCGAGTCATCGGTCGATTGAGGTCTCATCGGCCGTCTGTGAATCACATGGGTTGGGTGTCAACCAGGGTTGCTCAAATTGGTGGATGTTGGTGATCTTGAACGCTTTGTCTTTCCAGGTCAAGCACTGGGTCTTACGACCCAAGCCACTGACATCGCAAGAAGAAGCAATAAAGTGGCTTTGCCCAGCGTTTGCGCGCTGAATATTGACTGCTCAGGGCTCGCTCGGGATCTCAAAAACCCAATAGAACCGTGAATGACAACAACAAACCCGTAAATACCACCGAATTTGGCATCCAAACGCTCCAAAGAACCTTGTGCGCGCTGCCTATCATCTTGTGGGCTTTTGTCTTTCCACGCGCGCGTGTGCAGAACCACCAACTGTTACATAATCAATCATATAGATATGTATGTCGTGTGTTGTGTGTATGTCGTGTGTGTGTGTGTGTTCAAAGTTCGAGCAATATCAATAGGGAGCGGTTTGCAGATGGACTGTCTTCCTTAAGCACAACATATTAATCTGGCTTTCCCATATTAACCTTTGTGCACAGGTGCTGTTTGAAGAGGTCGGTAGCAATCAGACTATATCAAACTATATCAACCCCCTGTGGTGTTCTCCATCCCCAACACCAAGCCACGTGTTCTCCGCCACCAGCTCGCAGTCTGTCTCTGCCAATAGCTTCTGCAAGCGCGAGGCGTGTTTCTGCCACCTCGCAACTCTCGGCCGAATACAGCACAATACAGCTGCGTGCCTTGACATCAAGTGGGCCTTCCATTGCATTGTGTGGGTGAGACGCCCCACCGCCGTGTTGATCTCCCTAGAAGATACACATTATGTCTGGGGCATCAATAAGTGATTCACTACCTTGCAATGTTTCTATGACCTTCGCTTGTCCCCGAGCCACCTCGAGATGATTCGAGATGTAATCTTAATCTAGCACACAAATGTCAAAAACTGCCTGAGGCAGCTGCCTCTAAGTGAGCACAACAAGCAGGCCCAAACCCTGGAACGTGAAGCGGTCAGTTGGGGCTCCATTTCTGCTCAGCCTGCCTGGGCTCTGTGTTCTTGGGGCTCGTCTCCGGAGAGGCTATGGCTTCCCTGGCTCTCGCAGCGTCATCAGCCCCAGATGAGATAACAATGTTTAGTACGAGTGTTTAACAAGGAGCACAGTTAGGTGACTGATTTGCAACGAACCAAATCAGCTCATCAGCGAGATACAGTAGGTTTTCCAAAAAGAATAAGACAAGCTCTGAGGCCGTTTAAGCTTTCACCCCCTACAGCCTAGCATCGTGGGCAAAAAGATGGTAGAAGAACATCGTTAAACCGTGTTAAAGCATGTTAAACCATGTTAAACCAAGTTATTAGACCTGCCCCAAAATGACCGCTTGTCCCATCAAAACACCATGTTCGGACATTGACTGCCCAAGTGACCTCCGGCTCCCGCGCACGGGTGGCAAGGACCGCGCACGAGAAAGAGATGCGACAACCTTAGGAGAGACGCCGAGACGCGTCCAAGCACACTCCAAATATACCAGACACTGAAGTCACTGAAGCTGCAGCATTGAAGTTGAAAAAACTGGATGCAAATGTGAAATTTAGATAAATTTAGCTTCTAGATGGTGAGTGATGGAACTTTTCCTAGTGATGGAACTTTTCCTTCGGGCTGCCCTACATCAGGGATTCAGGTCAGGTGCTTTTGGCAACCATGTCGTGATGCTCAGGAATCAAGAGTCCTTGTCATTCATCCAAGTACTATCCAATTGGCTGAGTTTCATGGTGGAACCATGTCAAACCCATCCAAGTACCAGGTTCACACCCAAGTCCGTCCAGATCATTCAAGAGGCTCCTGGGAGATCGTGGATGAGCGGCTTCTGCGTGGACTCCTGACAGGAAGAAGGATTGGTGGCTTCTGCATGGCCATTCTCAATGGCTCAGATTGAGGAGTTCTCCCCTCTGCTATTTCTGCTTTTAAGGCCTAAAGTTGCTGGGAGGACGGAGCACCTCATGACAAAGGGCACACAAGGGTCGCCCTGGGCCCGGAAAAGAGACTCTGGGAGCACCTGGTTCTTGAACCGGGAGAGTCTTAGGACCGGGAGAGTCTTAAGACCGGTTCAACGCAAGAATCGCAAGAAAATGCAAGAAGCGTTGTGCTTACTGCTTCCTTGCTGCTTACTTGCCACAACTCCAATGCTGAAGTTATCCGAAGTTCCGTCAGTAGCTCATGTTCTCAAAAGCATCAAACTGCCACTGTTGTGTGTCAGGAATTCTAGACCTCATATAGATCTCATACTTCACACCACTAGTCTATACAAAATTGTGGCTGAAAGCAACTGAGACTGGTCACAAATGCATCCTCTTGTTGACCAAGTTCCTCTTGTTTGCTTCTCCACCAAGTTCCCCCCGCGGTCCCGTCTCGTCTTCGAGCTCTGTGCGCGACGCAGGTCACGCCGTGGACGAGGGAGATCAAGCAGAGTCATGGCGACGCAGGTCACTATTGGCACAGCGCGCACCGTACTGCACAGTGAGGCTCGAAGCGCTTGACAGGGAACAAAACATTGGTTAACACAGAGCATCAGGGATACCACAGAGCATCTGTTTTCTGCGGTGTAGTTCTCTGAAAAGGACACTGGGGCTGGTTGTCGTTTAGCAGCTAGCAATGATGCTGGTGACTGCTTGTGATATGTGTGGCTTTGTCCCTGTTACATCTTCGGGATCATGCAAAAGATAGTTATTCCATTATTCCATGGAGTCTTGCCCATTCCGTGCCGCTACTCTATGTACAGCTGCGATCACAACAGTTCAGTCACGTTGCGAAAGCACGCAGCAGAACACTTCGAAATCTGACTGTTTGACCCACACACAGCTGAACCCTTCGTTGGCCTCGTAAGGGAGGAGGGAGATTCACTGGCCTAGCAAGCGAATCGGAACAGATCGGTTCGTAGTCTCGTTCTTCGGCTGTCTAAGAAGCTTTCACAAGCTTCAAGAGACATTGTGCCCTCTGACATTGCCACTGTCCTTTACACAATTATATTGTCAACATTTTTGTGGCTCAATAAGTTGGATTTAGAAGAAAAGGCTGCTCGTATTAACATCCAAGCTGTGCCAAGCTGCTTGGCCACTAAAAGCATGAACCTTCAAGCAAATACCCACATTCCCAAGAGCACCTCAGTGTCATCGCCTTGGCAGCCGGGGATTTCTGTTGTTCAATGCAGTAATTTGTTTGCATTACTCACAATTGACCTAATTTGGAAGCATATATAGATTCAAATGATCTGATGGCCTCTGCTGGCCAATACAGCCTCCTGAATTAGATTGAATGCTCAAAACAGTATCCAGTTGAAGTTGTTTTCACGAATCATATCCTTGTGCTTTCAGCAACTTCCATGCTCTTGGGATGAAGGGACTTGCAGCGATCGAAAAAGGTCACTTTTTCAAGCAGCACTTGGGAGGCCGCAGCCAGTCGTAGTCTCAAGTGTCGCTACAGCACTTGCACGACCTGATCGTAGTTACTTGGTTAGGCTCTAAGGGGCCGAAGCCCTGGTGAAGACCGCACAGAAATCACCAGAGCAGGTCACATAATTGATGGGCTCAGCGAAGGTGGAGCATTCCTCAAAACGTGTTCCCATGCAGTGCAGCCTTCCCACATCATGCTCAAAACAAGAAGTGGCCATGCGCATTGAACGGGTCTGGAAAAGACCCCTTCCCAATAGCGTGCCCAACGTTATGTATATATATATATAGTATATTTAGATGATTATAGATGTAGTTTGGTTGGATGAAATGATGGTGTTGACTCAACCATTCGAGACTGCCTTGTCCAGTTGTAACAGCTCGCTCGCGGAGAGTACATCGCAGCACGCCTTCAAGCAACAGCAAAAGGAGGATCTGAGCCACTGGCAGTCTTTCCATCAAGCAGGTTTGTGGTGCAAAGTTGTTCCTGCAACACCCCCCCTGGCTCAAAACAAAGGTGTTCCTGTTTGGGAGGAGACTCCTTTCAGCTACCTTGATTCCATCGGAATGAGACAGTTCCATCTCTGTTGGCGTCCTGCGCGTTGGCATCCACGAAGGTGATACGACCACCATGTGCGTAGAAACCATGTCCTGTTGATGCTTTTCTCCCGTCCTGAGTGTTTTGGAACATTGAGATGTGTGATTGGTGCAACCTCCCAGCAAGAAATAAAGAACAATGTTGTGCCTGCTGTCCTGCTATGTTGTTTTTGCTTTGAGGATACGCTTTCTAGTCGCAATTGCAAGATCTGTTGCCAAGCTGCAAGGGTTTTCTTTCTGCCAAGTCACTGGCTCCAATATTTTGACCTAAGAAACGCAAGAAACGCATCTGGCCCATCCGGACCAATCCGGACCTTCGGTTTTCCTTTCATCGAAGGGGCTGTGTCCCAAGGTGCCGTCTTGTCTCCAGGGGTGTGATCCTCAGTAAATACTGTGTCGAAGCGGAGAACAACAAGTGTTACTAAGTGGTTAACTCTGCCGAGACTCTGCCGTTTGGTTTCCAACATAAATGTACAAATATATGTTTTATGTGTGTATAATTGTGTATATATATATATATGGGCACAGCCAAGCAGGCCAAAACAACTCCAATTCTGTGGCAACCATACCGACTTGAGTACAACCCGTTGCACCAATGCCATTTGTGGCTTGGGTCTGTTTGAGCAAGTCTATGTGGCAAAAGGTCAAGCACTACCCAGCGAAAAGGATTGATGGTACATGTGGATCTGAATTGTCACGCAATGATTATTGATATTATTGCTTGTTGTGGTTCTCTTTGGATCAGCACTGATAAACTCTGTGAAACACCAATGTTCATCCAAAACTCATCACCAGGTGGGCGAATGGAAGGCAAGCCCTCGCCCACGTCGAGGCGGCCTGAACGGCAGATCCATGAGGCAGCACTAAACGGCTGAAAAAGCTCTTAGTAGCGTCCTTCTCCCTAGTAGTAAGGCCAGGAACCCTAGTAGCGTCCTTGCTCCTAGTAGCGATGCCCTTTGCTCCTAGTAGCGTCCTCTTCCATGCCAACGGCCTCAAGTCGCCTACCAATGTCCTCTGAGTGTACGACACTGAAAACAGACTTGTGCAGTGGGTTCCGCGAGGCCGGCTCCGAAATGTCCCCAGGTTCATGGCCAAGCGGTGTATATTGGCTTGGACGTAGCGACCCCGGCAGGGAGGTCGTAGAAACCATGAGCAGCTGGCAGTCACGATGCCAGCACTTCAGCCATGCGAACAAGGTGGAAGGGCTCCAGAACAGCCATGCGACGGTCATTTCTGGGGAAGCAGGCTTTGCTGAAACACCGTGAAGTTCAAGGTTTCCAGTGCTTCCCGAAGTGTGGACATGTGAGGTGTTTATTTGCTGTCGTTGCCAGGGGCCTTTGCCGCGCTTGCAGGCAGGCTCAAGGCTATTTTGCTGTTTGCTTAACTTTACAGATCCTTACAGCATTTCTGGCTAATTCCCCATGATGAAAGCACATAGGCATTTTTTAAAACTGCCAGCACGCACGAGCGAGCTCATTTGCGCGATCAAGTCCCATAAATTGACATTGCGTCAAAAAACAGACAAACACATGGCCTCCATTGCTTTATGGCTTTCCACGAACAGTCAAGCAGCTTGTCAGGAGAGCGTTGCAATGCCGTTCAGGGAGAACTAGAGGCGGCAGTTCTCCCTCTGTAGAAGTTCAACAAACTGTGAAACAAGTCCTCACGGCAACATCCAACTGGAACCCAGTTCACCCAACCGTTCCGAAAACAAGCTTGTTTGTACAACAAAGTGAAGGGAGTCATCCAACAAAGGCTACGTGAGGATATCAATGTTAGTAAATCTAGATCACAGAGAGGAAAAGGGTTCAACCGAAAGAGAGGGTCAAACACTCCTACTATGTGGTGGGGGTTCCTAACCCCACACAACCGAAACAACAAAACCAAGCACAAAACCACAGCCACATCCAAAACCGTTATCATGTAAGCCAAAAGCAAAGGTTTCCTAATCAAAGTATCGAAATGCGCGAAACCGAACGACCGTGCGTCCTCACAAACCCGCGCTTAACACGGAGGGGAGTGCGTTGCATCGCAACATTGACACACACACACACACACATATATATATATCGAAACCGCGAGTTCGGATCCTACCGAAACAAACGGGCTAGCTTGCGCTCCATTTTCTCTCGAGCGAAACAGCTGTCCCTGCGAGCAAGACCGTGGTGGAGCATATGGCATTCATGCTGGGCAACAAGACTCCTTATAATCTCCAAACTTAAATCTTCCAGGAATCTCGAGGTTTCCACTTCAGCAAATCTTCCACTGATCCTAACTTGGTCACGGTGATTTGAAGCTTCTTCGAGCAGACGTGCCAGGGATCAACTCTCCACGAACCAAGGCACTGTGGGAATTCTCCATCTCATGACGGCGCATGAAAGACGTAAGATCTTTCAGCTCACCACCTGCCGTGCTCTGTCGGGAGGAACACCATTTCACATATCCACGCATGTCCTCACTGGTGGAGGAAAGGAGCTCAATGTATGAAATGTTCTTTCCCTTGTATTTGCCAAAGCTGATGATCGATCGGCCCCACTGTTCGGTATTGATCACTCCTGGAGGAAGAGGAGGAAGACTCGAATTCGGTAGTGGCAGCTCAGAGGAAGAAGGATATGGCAAATTGGCAGCACTCGAAGCATAGCATCCATCCTGTTTGTCAGCACCTTCACTGGCCGAGGGCATGGGCATCGGCAACTTACGGTTGGCTTTTGAATGGACTGGATATTGACCATCGGATTGGCGCTTTGCGGCGTCCGACATGGTGCCCACCAGTTCAAAGTCGTCCACGTGTGGAAAGCCTCCCAAGGCTTCCACCGGCTCAATGCCATGCTGTATGGCCTTGCGGAACAAGGCGCGAAGCTGATTAGCTTCTTCCTGGGTCCAGGACATGTCGATCAGTCGAAGGTCAGTGAAGCACTGGCCACTTGAACAAGAAAGGATGCTGGTTTCCAAAACCTTGCATACTGGACTCAAGCATTAACAAAAACTGGTCGGCTCGTGACTGCTGGCAAAATGAAACACACAAAAACATGCATCTAGGACACTTGTTCGAATAGTCTCAAAGAATGTTAACCCTTTCGAGAAAATCTCAAAAACATTGCTTTTACTATTTCTTCTCAAGTGATCAACTATCTAAATTCTCGGCCGGATCAGCTTCCTCACTGAGTGGCTTCTTTTCCTTGGTGGACTGATTCCGTCTTAGCAATCGAAGCTCCCGTTCTTTGGCTTGTTGTGCCAACACATGTTCTTCGGGGGAAATTTGGTAGGTGGCACTACGTAAACAAGAACGAAGCAAATCTACTGGATCCATTTTATCTTTGGTGAGGGCATCAGCCAACATTCTGTTTGTTGGCAACCAACGGATGGATGCATGAGTGGCTTTTACGGACTCCCTGATAATCACTATATCAATGCTTGTGCGTCTATCATCCACTGCTGTCGGGGATGATGGAGATGTCAGGTGATCATACAAGGATTTGCAGTCGGTTGCTAGGATGGGTGGTCTGAGGCCTAAACGCTGTCGGCACAAACGAGGTTCAAACTTCCCATCGAGGGCTTCGCTCAAAATCAGACAGGCCCATTCCACCGTTCCGGTGGCAGTTGAAAGCGCTTGACTCTCTCCAGCCAGGGTTGAGGAAACTGCTCTTGGAAGCTTGTAGCTCTTCCAGGTCATTGGGGTCCAAGAACTGACTTCACCTTGATCAAGCTTTTGATCCACAAAGGCTATCACATACCCTGCCTGGGTGTGGGAGCCAACATTGGCGAAAGCAGCGTCTGAGTGACAACACAGGCGAAGATGTTCAGGTGGAATCGCACGGAATTGTATCTTCACATCTTTATGTTGCTTGGCTCTACGAACCGCATTGTTCACATCTCGAAGATGACGAATCTGGGGACGTGGAAAAGCTTGTTGACTCAGGCTCGTTTGCACTGCCAAGTCTGGACGTGATTGGGAGGCTATCCAATTTAAGCTACCATTGATGGCTCTAAGAACTCTGATCTGCGAATCTTGGAGATACTGTTCATTATTGGCCCCTTTTGCAATGTGTGCAGGTCGAATGTTTTCTGCAAAAGTCTGTTGAGACATTGAAATACTTTTTGACTGCGGATCTTGAGTGTAAAAGGCACCACAGAACTCCCCTGATTGGATTCGCCATTTTCGGTATGGAAATCGTTCTTTCAACCTTTTTACAGTTTCATCAAAGTAAGAACCATGACCTCCTAGGGCCGTGTCGTCCACGTGAACACCCATGGCACCACACAGCTTACCTGAAGTATCACGAAGAAAATACAGGCAGGCATCGAAAAGCGAACGTTCCCAGCCGAATTCGACTGCTGCTGTATCGAACGCCTTGTGCCACGCCGCTGGGGCGTCGTTCTGTCCGTAGACATTTCCGATAATCTCCAGCACCGCATCATCTGGAACGGATGGGATGCCACCAACAGGCAATCGAGCGTAAAGCGGACGAAACCGATCAGGAAGGGGACCTGCCTCTAGGAACGCTCCTTTTATATCCCCTAGCTGCAAATCCCATTGAAATGATGAGATGAGTTGCATTAGGATCATTCTGCCGATTTGACTAAGGGTTGGACTTTGCAAGAGGCCTTCATGTAACTTGGTATCCAAATCTGGGTCGAGGTGGCCCTGCAAACACCATCGGCTTTTGACTCGAAATGTGGCAGGATTTGTCACGTCCAAGTGCAGATTCTCTTCAAGGGGTTTGCGAACAATCACGAATCGGCTACCCATGAAACGATCGGCGCGATTTTCTTTCAACCATAGAGCATGTTTCCCAGTATGCACACGAATTGCCCTTTTTTCCAACAAGGTATTCCATTCAACCAATTTTGACTCATCTACTAGTTCTTGAAGTACTGGTTCATTACCGGAAGCTGGAATCTCTTTGGCGGCTCTCTTTTGGAGATAGGCAGCGACAAGCACTTCGATATTTTGTGAGGCTTGCCACAGCTGACACAGTTCGTGACAGTCTTGCACGGACAGTACTTCTTGACACGAACCGGACTCCACCAGCAGGTGTTCATCAATTCTTGGCTTTTGAGCAGGAGACTCTGACGTGGGAGATGGTGGCGAATCAGCAGACCGTTTGACACCGCTTGCACTACTAGCTTCCGAGGATGACGATTGCACCGTTTGTTCAATCAATTGGGGAACCACTTCGCGCATGATCTCAACAAAATCATCTTGACACATTGGTGAGGGACGGTACAAACGTGATGGCTGGCTTTTACATTCTAGCCTATGTTTGGTGCGAACTGGACCATAAGAAGGTTCAAGCCAGGACTTGTCGGGGCGATCTTCACCAGGAATCTGTGGATCTGTCTCGGGCATCGGATCAGTCTTCATCTCTGAGGCATCCGGTGGTTCTGGAGTAGCCGGCTTGTCAAGGCCATCCATGCGACTCTGATTTTCTGGCAGGATCTGCGGAATCTCAGCACTGTTCGGCTCTGGACCAAGCATGTCGGCATCTGGTGGATCAGGGTTTGGTTGATTTGGCGGATAGTGTCCCGGCACAAGGTCAATGAAATTATGACTCCGAAAGGTACCCCCTTCAATAAGGTCTTTGATTCCCAGCAGTTCAGCCTGTGGAGTCATGACGGTGGCTTTTTCTTCCGAGGTGGCAGGACGCAGTTGTTCTGGGGCGACTCTGAAAACTTGGCGTCGATGTGCAACAACATAGTTTCTACCAATACTGCCGATGATTACAGCTATGCCAAACCATTTACCCCCGGTGACCACACCTTGACCAGCTTGGAACTTTTGGTTTCTCCAGTAGGCTACTAGTTCACCAGGAGCGAACTGTAGGTCGACACGTGGC